CACAAATAACATCAAAGTTACGACGTCCTCAAGTTGCGAGTGCATGTTCGAATCTCCATAAATGATAGAACAAGGTTTTATCGTGAAATAAATATCGCTTCCTTCTTCTTTGTTCTTTGCGATTTATCGCGAAGCTGTCTTATATCATCAAATGTCAATTTCTCATTGCTTTATCATGACGTATCCGTGTCATAACCAATCATGTAGCGATAGGAAACACAAATATAGTTGACTTCGACATAGAATAGTGTCATGATATATAATTATCCTTTGGTGTGCAATATTTCCGGTTGATAAATCTAACATATGCTTACTTTTAAGAATAGCGACTATACATTTTTATATTATTTTATAAGGTCTCTGTAAAATAAAACAAATTTAATAATACAACTGAACCTAAATGTATGTTGTAATATCCTTAAGTTGCTGAGTGCGGCATTAGACCATAAACAAAACATAATATCTTTAAGAATTATGTTAATAATGTCGATGCTAAAAAATAATCTCCACAATATCCATACCTCTTTCTCTATGTTTAATGTGAAACATAATGACTCTTTTTAATGATCTGAAGGAATAATAATGACAATAATATCAAAATAATATCATCATTATTTATGTTACTTATCCTCAACTGAAGTAGTCCTCAACACTATACGTTCAGAGAAGAAACCCATGAACATATTATCAATGTAACATACATTAATGGAAATTAGATGAACAGTTGATTGAACAAATGATATTATTCGGTCGAACATCTATCAGCCAATACTACATTATTAAATTGTGAGACTACAGTGATTTTTGCAAGGCTACTCTCATAAATGTCATGACGCATTTGAGGCCAGGGTTCTTCTATACTCGCATTAATGTGCTGACTTATTATTGCGTTAATGTCATGATTTAAAGTATTCATGAAGAACATTTCACGTGGGACCAACAGAGGTAAATATGACTATCGACTATTTTTTTATATTTAGCTGGCTCAAACGATCTATTGGTTTGATTTATTGTTATGGTATCCACAAAATAAGTAGGATCCGTTTTTTTCCGTTTTTGTTGTTCTTTGTGTAACGCCGCACGTAGAAATATTCCAGTTATATGACGGTTGTCTGTAAATAATCGAGTCTGGACCAGACAATCCAGTGATTGATATCACGACCACCGATCTACGCAATTGAGATACAATGACATGCATGAACCAAGTCAGCGAGCCTGACCACCCGATCCCTTTAGTCGCCTCTTACGACAAGCATAGTCGCCTTTAACGGCAAGCATGGGTTGCTGTAAATCTATTCTTAACCGGATCTTCAAAGGTCAAGTGGGATTCAACTGATATGTTAAGATGAAATAAAACTGAATTATATGTGCTGTTTACATATCAAAGTTTGCCAAATTGTTACAAAATGTTTGGCCACAGCAAGGCTACGTATTCACAACATATTGTGGTAGGCACAGTATAACTCATGAGTCTGGACTGAGGGAGGGCCGTATTCCTCCTTGTGGGTCACCTGCTTGGCAATATGGGACGGGAAAACTGCAGAGGGTGAGGGCAGTTACGTTGATGGTACAGACAGATAACAGAGATCATTTTACAAATGTGAAACCTCATTCCACAAAGGAAGAGGCGAAAGCTGAAACTTGGTGAGATTTACAGAACAAAGGCAGCTATTTCTAGTTTCTTACTGACTCTCGAGGATACATTTAATAAAAATTCGTGTGTGCGACACGGCCACCAGTCACTAAATTTGGGTCGCAATCTTTCTGTCTTCTTTCATTTGTCATCTGAAATGCCATCCCTTCGTGCACTTGTGCTTCCTGCTCAAGTTACCAAACACATCCTGTTTACGTACACGTGCAAGATATATATTACGCCGAGAAGAATTTACGATTATACGTTGATAACTGCTGGCCTGGTACGCAATGTCATTTTATCGCCAGGGATCACAGGTGTGATACCACTCTCCCTCAAGGAGACGTCTGATTAAACTCTTTGCTTCGTCAATGCTTCGTCTAGCCCAAACCGGTAACTGGTACCACTAGCAACGATACAATGGCGTACAAAGACTTACAATGAGTCAAGCATCCGTATCTCGATTTCCATTTTGATTGATTGTTTGATTGATAGATTGATACATTGTGAGTGAGTGAGTGAGTGAGTGAGTGAGTGATTGAGTGAGTGAATGAGTGAGTGAGTGAGTGAGTGAGTGCCTGTTTCACTGGTATGTCCGGATCTGGGTACGGGTCACCGGCTTAGCGTCACCGATCTAGATATATTTATGAAGGAATAGGTCATCCATGCGGATAGCGTAATCTCGATTAATGTATTCAGGAACCTTTCGTGAACAACATTTATTGAAAATGCTACCGAAGAATCAAACAACTTTAAGATTTGGCTTCTGTGGTGGAATCATTCTAATATTTCACATAACCGTTAACGTACTTCTTGAATGTTGTCACGCCATTCATTCAGACATTCATTCTGTGGTAGCGCTCGCGGCGGTGTTGACCAGAGGCTATCAGCAGTATTTCCTGTCCAGGTTATTTAGGTCCGTTGTGTGTGTGTGCGTGCGTGCGTACGTGCGTGCGTGCGTGTGTGTGTGTGTGTGTGGGGGGGGGGGGGGGGGGGGGGGCATGGGGGTGTGAGAACGGGGGGATAGATGATGGATTTAACAACAAGTAAGGTCATCTTGAACGGGACGGTTTTCGTAGGCAATAGATGGATTAGCATATGAACTATGATTCTCTTTAGGTAGAAAAAGATCCACGATGTTCGACCTGGTAGAAGTGTGTAATCAAACCGCACAGCATTGGTCTTTGATTGACTGTGGCGACAAAACAAACTCATTCATGTACTTGATCTGAATGTTCATCTTAATTGTTATGGATAGTCACGGAGCCGTGATCCAGAGAACAGGGTGTCATTAGATAAAAATGAAGTAATAATAGGATTACCAGAAAAACGGGGTATAACACCCAAGCCAATAACCTCCCCTCAGGAACACCAGAGTAAGTAAGTACAAGATTGAAAACTGCCCCATAAGTATATATGACAGGCTAGTCGGGTATTGTTACTTGTATATGGGAAAACAAAGTTATTAAAATTAATAGCAAAACTGATGAAAGTCACCAATAAACGTGTATAAGTGTTATATCGTCACTGCAAAAATAATGAGTGTTGTCTTTAGTATTAACATTCAAATACGTGATATCTGTATTAGCGATATTGTCTACGTTCCACCGGAGAGTAAACGTTAGCCTTACTATCTCGTGGTATAAATGTTGCAAGAAATTGTATTTCTGATGACATCACGATACAGTTTTTTACGATGCATCACGTCTGCACCAGCGCTTGATAACAGCTTTGTGTTTGGGTGTTTCAGTAGTTTAAATTGCTGTTCTTGATGTTGTTGAATAAACTTTGATACTATGAACAATATAAGGTTATATGAGAGAATGACTTTAGAATGGTAACATGCGTTAATGTATATCTGATATAAATATATATATACAATAGGATGACATAAATAGAACAATGAGTAGTACGTCCAGATTAGTGTATAGGCAACATTTAAAAGTAGATGAAAGAACACAATCGTCCGGAATACAATGTATAATTCTAGTGCACTTCCATGGGACTATATAGCATACAATAAGCTTTCGGGTCCCGTTTGGGTCGGTTTGGGTGGCAGCTTAGATATCCATAGAGTAGGTTCATCTCGGAATCTCCCATATAACTGGGGCTCCTCTTCAATTAAATGGAGTTACTTGTTTCTTTCAAAACTATACAGTTTTAGAGACTAAGCATTAGTCTGAATAGATATCACCAGTTTGGAATTTGAAACTAATCTGTTTACAGTAACAGAACACTGTTTAAGTGTCGTGTACAAATGAGAAAGTGGAATCCCGTCAATTAGGCGGACGAACCTTAAAACTATTAATAAACATTAAAATAAGCAATATCGGGAAAATGTATATGCATATACTATCTGGCAATAAACACCAAGAACCCCTTCTACAAAAATAAGTTTTAAAAGCCGGTTGATATTCTTTTGCGTATTTGACGATTTTATAACTTTCGAAAGTACAAATCCTTTTCTTATATACTCAGACGTTCCTGAGCCTTGCGCTTTCCTAATTATTTTGACTAAAATTATTACCGTTATCGTTGTATTTGTTAATGGGAAATACGCGCCGATCAAGTACGTGCCATAAATTAAAGCGACATTGTACGATTCCGAACTCATCACGAGACTGTGTTTATGAATCACTGTCAAATAGTGGTGACATATAGTGGAAACAATACGCGAAATCGCGCATGCACAGAACGGAAAATTTGGACAAGGCATTAAGCAATCCGCATGCGCAGAACGATTGATTTCAGTACTTCCGCTAAGCGCTTCGAGTACAGCGTCAAACTCGGGCCTGTAATCTAACACGCGAGAACTGACCAATGAAATCTGAGAAGTAGGAATACCGGTGGACGCTGTTGCTTGATTGACAATGCCAATCAAGAAAGGGAGGAGCTTGATGATATCGTTCTCTCCCAGTAAATTCCGATGTCAAATAACGACGTTATTTGGACGGAAAAAACGATGGTTTGAAAGCGTCCAAATAACATCGTTTTTCCGTCCAATGACCATATACGGAAAAAACCGACGTTTTCGTGTTTGCAGTGATACCGGGGACTTATGCTACCACGGATTATATACGTATGGCTTAAATTCATGCCAGTTGGACCAGACAAACCAGTGTTTGGGCAAAGATCAACGATCAATACCTTTTTAAGTGATGGGTAGGAGAGTTAGAATATAGTTTTATGCCGCTTTTAGCAATATTTCAGCAATATCACGGGCTGGGACACCAGAAATGGGCTTCACACATTGTACCCTTGTGGGGACTCAAACCTAGGCCTTGGGGGTGACGAGCGAGCACTAGGCTACCCCACCTCCCCGATGGATAGAACATGAACATAACAAAAGATATACAAACAATCTTACAAAGTCATCTTCTTTGGGCAGTGTGTGAATAGGGATGGGTTGCCACGGTATAGCGGGGTTCCAAATCTGATATCCTGTCGGAGGAAACAGGCCAGCCAGCATGCAGTTGGCGCTCATTATAGCGCGGTCTTTATACGTGGCAAGAACGTGAATCTATAATAAAACATAAATAAACATAGAGAGAAAAGGTTTCTAAAAATGTAAAACATATGAAGGACGGGATAGTTAAATGAAATATGTGTGTGAGCGGATGCGGTTTTACGCCGCTTTTAACATTATGTCAGCAATATCGCGACAGGGGACGGAAATAGGAGTCACACCTGTACCCATGTGGGGAATCGAACCCGCGCCTTAGGCGTGACGAGCAAACGCATTAACCATTAACCGATAACAGCTAGTTATGAAATATAAAATTAATATACTCAAATAAGATATGACTACCATATAAAATACTGAAACAGCATTCGATAGTCTTTATAACAAGGGTTGTTTTTATGATGCGATTAAGTAAATATAATAAATGATGTCATTAAACTCATTTGATTTGTCTTCCTCAAACCTCACCTCATCTGCTGTGTAGTTTCCGTGAATGAAGCCGCTGCCGACGTAGCGTTGTCGTAAGTACTGGCCGAGTTCATACTCCTGTCTCATGCCTTCCTGGGAGAATCAGGGCGTTGGAATTCACTTATAATTACTTAAAGGAAGCCATCGAACGGTATGAAAAGGCTGGCAGACTTAACGTAACACGTGACATACATGTAATTCGTCACAATAGAATTCCTTATTGTACCGTCATCAGTGTTATAATTTGAACTCCTGTGCAGAAGAAACCACGTGATTATCACTCCTACTCTTGTTGGAGATGCAACGGTTTGAATGAGTGAGTGAGTGAGTATGGTTTTACGCCGCTTTTAGCAATATTCCAGCAATATCACGGCGGGGACACCAGAAATGGGCTACACATTGTACCCATGTCTGGAATCGAACCCGGATCTTCGGCGTAACGAGCGAACGCTTTAACCACTGTGCTACCCCACCGCCCAAGCAACGTTTGGAATGGACGATCGTTGATAACCTTTAATCAAAGGATCAATTAAAAAGAAAATAGTTTCAAGTGTAAAAACGGATGAAAGTTTTTGATGTTCATCTCAAATGCCGGGCAAAAGAAAGAATACTCTTGGAAATTGGATTTAACCAGATTTTACAGAACGTTACTAGACTGAAAACAGTCGTCAACTGTGATACCCATATCAAATACATCACCATCCATCAAATAACCATTTCTTGTTTGTTTCATGTTAAGCCACTTGTATACTGTATACGCATGCTCGTTTAAACGCACAATGTACCTAACATTTACCATGTACCTATACTGGCCAGATATGAATCCCTTTGGTTGAAGTACATGCTCTATCCCCTCCCCCTCCCCCTCCCCCTCCCCCTCGCCTACCTGTGTGAGTTTTCCCCAGCCCTGGTGCCACGTGTCTTTTTGATGGGGGTCAGTAGGGTAGGCGTGTGTGGGTGTCCGATCTCCATGGCGAAACAGCTGCAACATAAAGCGAGTGAGTATAGTTTAACGCCGCTTCTAGCTATAGTCAGCCAACGTGGGTAAGTTTCCTAAGGCTCGCTTAATACAATGTTTATCCCTAATATAGGATATATACCATTCAATATACCCTCGCGTGATATCATCCATGTATCCGAACACAGGTGTTCTGTTAGCTAAGTTTACCTGGAACCTTTATGTGTGCCTTAAAACAGTATGAATTCTAATTGCTTTTTATATAACATATGCGTTCTCTCGCAGAACGTATGTGTTCTAGTATGTTCTATAATAAGTGAGTGAGTGAGTGAGTTGGGTTTAACGCCGCTTTTAACATCATTCCAGTTATATCACGGCGTGTCAGCTTAATGAAGGAGGAAAGCCCGAAGTGATGCAGGTCTAAGACGTTTACCACTTCGGTGAAACCCACGAGCACGGGTATGGTGCCGACAAACCTAGAAACATAATTAGGGCGAACCGGGATTCGAACCCTCAATCATAGGTTTCTGGCGTGCCCAAGGGACGCAACTCTGCACAGCGAATCGCGGCGCCTTAGACAGCTGGGCCACCCGTGTCCCCCCCTATAATAAGTACAATAATACGAAGCACAATAATGTTATAGTGAGAACATGTGGTCCATTAGTAGAACACTGGTGTTCTGTTTTGTCTGGTATTTAAAGCTACCCATGCCCTGGAGTGAGTGAGTGAGTATGGTTTCACGCCGCTTTTAGCAATATTCCAGCAATATCACGGTGGGGGACACCAGAAATGGGCTTCACACATTGTACCCATGTCGGGAATCGAAGCAGGAACTTCGGCGTGACGAGCGAACGCTTTAACCACAAGGCTTCCCGACCATCGGGCAAATTCAGTACTTTAGGAGTGATCAGAATATCATCAAAGAAATCCTAACAATAGTTTGACAGGCATCACACGTGTTCTGAAAGTGTTATATTGTCAGAACACGTGAAACGTTTTCATATATTTGTAGAACATCACTGTTCTGGATCGAGAACATATCAGTGTTCAGATTATCCCCAGAACACATGGACACGTTCTAGAAGTGTCACATCCATGTGTTCTTGTCCAGTGTTCAGAGGTAGAACACTTTGGTTTAGAGCGTGTCACTTGATACGGGGTCCTATAGATTAAACACAGTCATCAGTGAAAGACATGGCCTCGCCATGTGTGAATGATATGCCGAGCGTACAGTGACAGCTTATCTGTCAGTTTGTAGTGTTGAGGACAAGTGAAAGCAGGGCCATACCGTTGACAGGCAGGGATACCAAATATATCCTCACAACCGCAGCGCGGCCCCGTCTGTGTCCGACAAGGAGATTATTTAGAACCTGAATTTGAATTTAAAAACTCTGACATTTGATGACTCAAATAAAACTCATATTGAAGAGAAGTATAAAGATGAAAAACAGTAAATTACAATGAATTTATTTTTTAAACTTAATTCAAAAGGGATATTAATATTTATTTTGCATTTGTCAAAATGGCATTCTTGTAATATTAAGTTGACACTCACCACTTGTACGTATCTTAAGGTTCCGTCAGAGGCTGAGATAGCGTCAAGGAGAATGCACAGAAGTAAGCAGCGTTGCGCCATGATGACACGATGTGCAGCTCGCATCGCGTGTGGTTGGCTGTCCTCGGTTATTTCCGTGACGGAAAGGAGACAGCGATCGCTACACACTCCTACCCAGAGTTCCATGCAGCCAGCCGGTATCTCTGCCACAGTCCATGCAGCGACACGTGACGATTCGTCAAATCTTTACAGTCCATTCAAGATAGTGCTTATGTTTTTCATCTGTTTCAATTTTGACGAGTCTACACCAGTGGATAACATATGTCACAGCATGGTAAATTTACATTGAGAAAATATCCTAAAACGTGACAAGCTATTTCCTTTTGCGTTGTTATCCTATGTTTACATTGGTTGTCCGGCTCCACGTGCTGTCATCGAAGCCCAACTGAGAGTTAACGATACGGTCACTTTGATGTATTTGATTAGATATATTGTCATGCACCTCGCCGTCGCAGTTGTAGTAGCATAATTATCTATATAATTATGCAAAACAATATGTAACGCGCACTGGAAAGCTTTCAGAATAAGCGCGTTTGTTTACAAACAAGAAAGAAGTCCGGTCACGTAATATGTAAATTAACCTGTGGCAGTGACGTAATGCAAAATCACTATAAAGTGTGAGTGTGAGATCGCGACACTGATATTACTTTTTTGACCGATTTTATTACTTTACTCACATATCACCGCTTGAGATAATAGTGTTTGTGTAAAAGGATGGGAGTGAGTTGGGTTTGAACATATTTTGAAATTTAGGAAAGCGCGGCAGATTATTGTGACGCAAGTTGCGGGCGTGGCCAACTTGTGTGAAGTCAACTCGCAGGGGCGAGGTGCGGACACACCAGGGGGCGGGATAGGGCAAGATATGGGAATCGAACCCCGACCATAGGATTTTGGCACGGGTCGCCACTATTCAGCTGATTGAGTGAGTGGGTGTTTTGGCAGACTAACATCTCGTCTCTGAAAATGAACATATCTTACAGAAAAAAAGCTGTTAAATTATGTTCATAAAAATATACTAAAAAGGAGCCCAGAGACTGTCTTCATTTTCAGATACTGCAGTAATCTAGACTTGCCAAACATTATAGACTTGCATCGGCTGTATTGGATATAATTGTATAAGGGTCTGTATCACAGACTAGGTGTTTGGGTGTGTGGGTGTTTGAGTGAGTGTGAGTGGGTGAGTTTGTATGTGTGTTGGTGAGTGGGTGAGTGTTTAGGTTAGTGTATGGTGTGTGATTGAGTTAGTGAGTATTCAAGTGTGTGTTGGTGTTTGAGAGAGTGAGTATTTATCGCTTCATCTTTAATATTTCTGCGAATGAGCGGCGAAAATCACAGATGAAGTTTATTAATCATATGAGTTAATAATCCCTAAGTACACACAGTATTTGACCTCGGATGATTTGCAATGTAGAAACGTAGCGACACACTAGTACCCGGCATTCCTAAAGTTATGTTCGCTTTGCCCAGGCATGTATATCAATCTCACTGCAGACACATGGTTTAAAGGGAGGTAACTCGGGGTGGCCTGTAATCAAAGGGTGAAACCCAAGAGCGGACATAGCGTTGATATACCAAGGATCAAAATCGGGACGAATCTGGAATTTGAGCACGCAATTTATGTTTCGCGGTACCAGGCTTTGATATAGGCAAGTGGGCACTCTAGTTCAAACTAGGCTTTGATGTGGGCTAGTGACCTCTTATGCCTCGGGGAGATGAGAGGGACTATACCGTGTCGGGTACCCATTTCCAGTCTAATAAAGTAATTGTTTCAACTTGAGTGATTAAGTATGTGTCATTATGGTAATCAACACCTACTGGATAGGTATACATGTACATAATAAAATCTGAGTTTACCGACGCTATTCAAATTTGCTAGAACTGCCAGTCGGACATCCAATTGTCTTCCCCTAAATTATAAATGATTTAATTCTTTTAAGACACCGCTTATACAAAGCCATGTTGTGCGAGGCTGCTATAATGCTAATAGTATTAATAGACCGACCATTTGATTTGATTTGTTTCTGTATTTAAAACTATGAGCCTGATTTTTAAAAAGAGAAAAACACCTGTCAACAATGTACTTTTTGTGGGAGGCAATTTCTTTTTCTTCAACAGTCTGAAGCATAAAAAATATTTCAAGAAGTTTTCGGAACAATTTATTATTTTTGAAAATAATCCCAGGCTTCCCCTCCCTAAGAAAATCAGATGGTTGGCCCCTAGGGTAGTTGTAACCAACTATAGCTATAAAACCTTGATGGTGCTTTTTCGGTAAGAATGGTATCTTCATGTATATTTGAATATTACTAACTATATGTGGTCAAGACAATCTTACCGTCGCTGAAACATATGGCTACTGCAAAGACCACCGCCACGTATGCATGCTGTTGGCGTAGTGAGTCGACGGATGTTTTTAACGACGACATCAGGGGTATATTTTGGGCGTTCTCTCTTATTTATACAGTAACTGTTTAGTTAATATAATTTGGTTCCTAGTTTAGCTGCAAATTCTAGGTACGTCATCTTTTTTTATGAAAACGTGACACTGCAAAACATGACTTTTATGGCTGTATACAACTTATATGATCGGAACATGTCCGAGAGACACAATGGACCAATGAAACGGAGGATTCACTGTTGGAGAAAGTTTGCCACTGAGTGTCAACACGTTGTTAATAGTAGACAGGACCAAGTCTGCCCAGGCTCCTAGACTTGGTACCTACCATTGTGCAGCGAAGTCAGTAGGGAACTGTCTACAGCAGTTTATTTACCTATTGTATCCAAGTATTACTTGGCGTCACTCAGGCTGAAATAGATTGTTTCTTGACTCACTTGTTCCAAGGTCGTAGATTCTCTTCACCATGTGTATGTATATAAAAAAATATGTTGTGCACATTCAAATGTGTGCACGAGAGACACAAGCGACAGTGCTTCACTCACAGACATGCCTTTTAGGCCTACTACTGATACCTATGTGTATGCATTGTGTCGATCACACACGTGCAGGTGTAGACATTGTGGCGTCAACGCACGCAAGTGTAGACACTGTCTCGATCGAACACGTGCAGGTGTACACATTGTCTCGCTCATAAACATACAGCTGTCGAATTCTCCCTAAACACATGCAGGTGTATACATTCTCACTCTTTAAATGCAGGTGTATACATTCTCACTGTGCGTGTAGGTACCAGGGCTGGTAAAGAAGGTTCTAAACCTAACAAACAAAACCAACAATTGTGGAAGTGTTTTATATTTTATTTTTCAACATAATCTCCCTGCTTTGCAATACACTTCTCATATCAATAGTAAAGTGTTTCAAATCCAATCAGGAAAAACATGTCTGAAGCCGTCCTGAAAAACCATTCCCGGCAGCTTTCAGGTCATCGCTGTCGTCATAACGCTTTCCACGAAGGAGTTCTTTCAGTTTAGGAAACAGGTGGAAATCACTTGGTGCCAGGTCTGGCGAGTATGGAGGGTGAGGAAGCCATTCGAATCCACATTGTCGTACAGCAGCCCTTGCAAGTCCAGCGTTGTCGTGAAGTAGAAGAACCCCAACAGACAACATTCTTCGCCGCTTTTCTTTGATAGAATCTTTCAGGCGATGAAACAAATCAGCATAGTAGGCACCAATAATAGTCTATTGACTTTCTAAGTAATCTACAAGGATCACACCCTTTGCATCACGGAATACGTGGACATAACTTTCTTCACTGATCTTGAAGAGTTGAATTTCTTTGGTGTCGGAGAAGTGGAATGATGCCGTTCCATGGATCGACGTTTTGACTCGAAATCAGGGCGGTAGATGTCACATCACCAGTTACAAATCTCTTTTTGAATTTGACGAAATCCTCCTCAATTAGCTTTAAATTTTCTCTAGCAATGTCAGTTTAGACACTTTGGCATCCAACGAGCAGATAGCTGTAAATGTTCATGAATAATAGTTTCAGTTGATCCATGGCTTAGACCTACGTCTACCTCAAGTTCAGCAATGGTGATACGTCTGGCGGTATGGGTTTTTCTATCTCCTTGATTGATGGCGAATTCTGGAGCTCCATATCCTTCCTCAATGAGATGTGCCTCTTAAGATTATCCTTAAGTTGATGCATACACGCTGTCGTGTCTGTTGTGTCACAGTAAATAGATACAGGTACGAAATTAGTACTAATACCCCTGGTTTCAGGTTTGTCATTGTCTGCAGGTGATACATCAAGCTGTGGCCTACTACTGGGAAGTTCTGACACTGGAGACCTGTGTCAAATCTGCGTTAGTATTTCTTTGAATACTTGTACTTGAGGTCGGATCCCCCGAAACATATGTAATACATCTCAATCGAGGTAGTAAGGTGTTAACCACTCAAATATATATATATCTCAAACGTGGTTCTGATTCACCTGTGTAATAACTGCTTCTTGCTGGCCTCTGCATGCTGAAGTCTGTGTGGTGAATTGAGAGTAGTTTGGTGTCATGACCTCTGGTTGGGATTCAGTGACTTTTAATATAATATTTGGAACGCCGTGATATAAATGGAATGCTGTTAAAAGCTGCGTTAAACCCAACTCACTCACTCACTATATATATCATAGAAGTGATAGGTTAAATAAATACAAAGTGGAGAAACACTTCCTCTAACAATGTGAAGGTATGTAACAAGGATCGAACGCGAACGCGCACACGCACGCGCAGGCACAAGCACACACTAATTTATAGTGTGTTTTGTGAACTGGTAATGTTTTTTCATGCTTATTAAGATAAACATACACACATGTACACATGTGGTGATGATGGCATTATAGCATGACGTTGTAAGGGTTTCAAACACAGAATCTGGTCTATCCTTTGGTTTGTTCAGGTGTGAAAAAGCTCGACATCTCTCGTAAAGGCCACGATGTCCAGTGACTTGACCGATCGATGAGTGTCAAACAATATTGATATGGGGAAATGTTTTTCTATACAATAAAACATTTCCCTATATTATTCAGGCGTTTCCAGAGTGAATGGACAACCTTCAACTTCGAACGTCTACTTCGGAAACTGTATTTGTCACATACCTTGTTTAAATATTTACAAATCTAGTATTGTTACACAATAAAAATAAATAATTACTTTAATTTATTATTTTGCAGTTTGTTTTAATGTTAGCAGTATTAGGAATTATCTCGCTTTTAAATGAAATATATTATACATTAACATGTGTTAGCCTGGAGATACCGCACTCAACTACAGGTTGGTCCACTCACTATGACAGATACTTTTAGGGATTGTGGTATTTTAGTTTGACATCCTTGTGTCACTATTCAGATCACAACTACCGGGCACTGCCAGTTGGTAAACAAATATAGGGCCACAGCGATAATAACACAGTTTAACATTATTCGTATACTTTTCTATTGGTTTTGTGTTCTTTATAATGGTTATACAGGCGATTTCAAGCAACATATCGTCTTAGTATACTTTCAATATTTTGGAGGGCTACTGTAGAAATATTTCAGTTAAAAGAAAACATAATACATGATTGCAGTGCGTTTATCCTCATATACATATGAGGATGCACCTTTCACTTATTGTTTTGCCCTTCATATTATCCTGATTACTTAAGCACATACAGTGAGCGTCTTGATGCACCCACATTCGCCTTTAAATATTTAATATATCACAGGTTGTCGAATTAGCCGTGCTAGTTTACGTGCGCTTCAAACAATTAACTTCTAATGATGTAAAGATTTCTCCCCGTTATAGCGCATGCGTAAACCGGCGGTGGAACAGGTGAGGTATTTTTCAAGGCTTGTTTAGTAAGTAGTTAAATAATTGGGGTGCTATTTTGTTTTTATTTTGTTTATCTAAGTACTTACTCTCGTAAGGTACTCCCAGGGTGTCAAGACACCACTCCAGTTCTTGGATGCTGTTGGCAAACTTCTGAAGATGGATTAAGGTTGTGTCAGTGTGACAACCTCGATGTGAACTGTGATGTGAACTGTGATATTAACTTTAACTGAACTCTATGTGGCGAAGATGTTCAAGGGATGGATGAATTAAAATGTTGAATGAAATAAAGTAAAAGAGGGTATCAAGCATCTTGAGTCATTTCTTTTGTCTATAATAAGACAAGTCCATTTTCATGATAGGGGTTAATTACCTGATTAATATGTGCAACCAGGTATGACATTGTTGTTTTAAGGTGTCTCACAACTGGGCTGTCTTACTAATGGGAGGAGACCTGTCAGTGGTCTCTCCGTCCGAGGTTTGCACGAGCGTAATAACACAGTACGTCCATCTCGTGCGCCAACGTCTGGGTTGATGTTAAATATCATTACCATATTCCATCGGAAGTACGTATACGCCATCGCTTCCTTCATGTGTCATTTGGTAGCGGAATCCCTACCTCCGGGCGGCTTCTGCTCTCTCGAAACTATGCCCATCATCCGAGTTTGAAGCCAGTTCATCTCCCACCCTCTCTGAGACGACTGCCCAGCCGACTGGAGATCTGTCCTTCAACAGAGCCCTGAGCCTAGACTAACATTTAGTCTCTGAAATCTTATATCACACAATATCCTTCTTGACTCTAAAAATAAATATAAATATATTCCACGGTCATGGTGCAATAGAGCTAGCTTGAGCTGGCTAGAGTTGCTTTTTGCTTTTTCTAGATTATTATTTTTTCATAAAATAAATATATTCCACGGTCATGGTGCAGGACTACCCTGAGCCTTAATGCGTTAACTAGGATTGTGGAGCTCTTCAATAGAATCAAGATGTTCCTGCTGTGAAACTCCATAATGAAAAAGTGAGTGAGTGAGTATGGTTTTACGCCGCTTTTAGCAATATTCCAGCAATACAAAGGCGAGGGACACCACAAATGGGCTTCACACATTGTGTCCATGTCGGGAGTCGAACCCGGGTCTTCGGCGTGACGAGCGAACACTTTAACCACTAGGCTACCTGACCGCCCCCATAATGAAAGAGACAAAGACGGCTCCCCTGTGTGACTTGAAGGCTTCGAGTTGTGCCTCACACTCCTCGCCCTCTGCACTGCACCTTAATCACATGACATCACCACTTCCATGTGCACAACATTCGCTTTCAAATTACATTCGCTACCGTATTTACCCCATAGTAAATACATTGGTGGTCAGACTCGGAGTCTGATTGTGAGTAATTGGGCCGCGATAACGGGTAGCGTTGCATAGTCGTGCTTCTCATTTTTTTTCTGGGGCAGACACGAAAAACGAGATTAATCGATATATATTTTCAAACATAGTATGTTTATGTTTAATAAATAACATACCAGTGCAAGTGAATTATTATTTGTGTAAACACATCGACACAGAAAACAAAGACAGTGGCGTAAACAATGCACACAATAATATGCTGATCACATGTTGTGATAGGAAAACCAGAACGTGTGCATAACAGAAAACCCCCCAGATAATTTCCTTTGCCATTAAATATTACTACTAGGTTTGAACTCACATAGTTATCACACTTGTGTCCTGTTTGAAATAGTTACGTGGAAATTCGTGACGATTCCGGGTAAGAATACAGGTCTTCAGCAACCCATGCTTGTCGAAAGAGGGGACTACATGGATTGGGTGGTCAGTTTGTTTGTTTGTTGTCAGTTAGTGAGTGAGTTAGTTAAGATTTAACGTCACATCGGCAGTATTTCAGCCACATCGTGACAAGAAGTACATTAATAATACATAGATTTAGACTAAATAAAAAGCTGTCAACGAAGGACAGTACAATAACTAGAATATCACAGATTCGATTTAAAACTAGTTGTGAATATATAAAAGCCATAAGTATCAGTGAACAACACAATATAAAAATGGGCTAGGGATCGTCAGTAACTAAAGGGAGGTCACCATACTAGGGACCAGGGGGACTTCGTTGCCATTGCTTCCTGCATGGACCCCGGCAGGATTTATATCAGTCACTGGCGATAGTTTACCAGTTAAGCCTAAGATTAAAATGACAAAAATGCTACGTTTTAAAAGTCTGGTATGCATAAAAATACTTCTATTGATTTGGGACTTACATACCCTCTTAGGGGGACAATAATTTTACGCTACTTCAACCCCCCTCGAGGGTACAGCCACTTACAATCTAAGTTATTAATTTGCACTACCAATTTATACAATAATACATTCAGTACATCAAAATGTATGGGCAAGTTCGATTTCTTTTTAAAAGCCTAATATTACTTCTTTCAGTGGCATTTAGACGTTGGTGTGATGAAGTAAGACGAGTTCTATGGATGAACAACTTCTTTATTACAATTAGTGCGACGTTTCGGTGTAGATCCTAACACCTTTATCAAGCAAGTGATGGATAGTGCTAAACAACATAGGTATATATACTTATTAACATTAAAGTTTATACAGTAAATTGATTGATGGACACAGAGAGCTGATTAAGATAATTGGAAGCCAGTGGATGACTTATGAACACAGAGTCAACATTTAATATTAAATGAGAATTGACATCATTAAAAAAGTCCTTAACTGTTCTGACACTGAAATATTTATCCCTTGTGATACAGCAATATTCCAGTTATAACGGCGGTCTGGACATTATCGAGATTGTACCAGATAATCCAGCAGTTGACAACATGAGAATTGACCAAGGCAATTGGAATACGATGACATGCATCAACCAAGTCAGCAAGCCTGACCCCCCGATCCAGTTAGTCGCCTCTTATAACAAGCATAGTCCCAAGCAGGGGTTGCTGAAGGCCAATTCCAATCCGGATCTTCACGGGGTGATTGACTCTTGCCTCCAGCTCCTTCATCCTTTGCATACACAACATCATTATTGACAGCAACCCATCCTTGTCGGAAGAGGGGACTAAATGGATCGGTTGGTCAGACCTGGCTGATGACATGTCATCGTATCGCAATTGCGTGGATCGATGCTCATGACGTCAATCACTGTCGGGTCTAGACTCGATTATTGACATAGCGCTGCGGGCGGTAAACAACAAACACAGTTACATGGAACCTTGAATTTATATCACTTTGACGATAGCGATCACCAATGGGAGAAGTAGAACAGATAGTGTTATATCTGAAATAGAAAAATGAATACCAAATTAACAGCACGGAAATGATGTCATCGGATCTATATGAATATATCGTAAAAATCAACACTGTCAAGTAACGATTCTAGAAAGTTGATATTCAAATTAAAAACTCAGCATTCATATTATGTGTAGTTGCACCTAAGTAGATATATCCCCCCCCCCCCCCCCCCCCCCCCAAAGTTTCACACCACTCAGTAATGCTTATTGAACTTGATATTCACTTGACTCACATACAAAATAAAAATCGTAACATGCAAACTAAACTGACGCCCCAAAGAAACCTTACCACAGTTTTAAATAATTCTAGTTTAAAAGCCACAAAAGATATATGAAATAAAATGTAGTGAAAAAAAATCAAAATCTCAACGAAATCAACATTTATACAGAAAAAGTCAGTCGTCTGATGACGTCACTAGGGATACGTCTTCTTGGAGAGCCTGGATCAGTTCTTGTCGGTTAGCTGGAGGATGTGGTCGCTGACGAACACGACGATCCATGCTATCCTAGAGGTGTTCTAAGGGGGACATGTCTGGGGAGCGTGCACGCCATGGCAACGCGTTGACGTTGTCGGCCGCAAGGAAGTTCTGTACAATTGGGGTTGTATGGGGTCTGGCGTTGTTATGTTGATAAAGTACAGCACGTGGCAGCTGTTGTAGAAATGGTAGGACAATCGGACGAAGAATGTCATCCACATAATGCTGAGCTATCATATGCCCGTTAACTATGACCAGGGGTCTTCTCTCCTGCCCAAAAATTCCTCCTAAACACCATAACAACCCCCCACCATACGGCATGACCTCCTGAACACAACATGCCGCCGTTCATTCTCCCCTTCGGCGGTGAGCACGCTGTCTTCCATCAGCACAGACAGAACCGGCTTTCAACAGTGAAGACGACCCTCTGCCAGTCACGTCGCTGCGAAGGACGTACAGTCCGGGCCCATCTCAATCTCTGACGACGATGTTGCACTGTCAATAACTGCCCTCTGTAAGGTCTGCAAGCCCTAATTCCTTGAGCCCTGAGTTGCCTGGTCACTGATAGTTGACTAACCATATGCCCTATGACATTCGTCGCTGATGACGTCACTGTTGGGAATCGATTCCAGAGGTGCAAAGTACGCAATTACCGGTCTACATTGGGCGTAGTTACCCTGGGTCTGCCTGTTCTTAGCTTGTCTGATGTCTGCCCGGTCTGCCTCTGACATCAGGTTAGCCACAACAATACGGAAGCAACCAAAAGTTCAAGCAATGTGTGCATGGCTCCCATGTGTATTATAACCAGGGCACGCTCGCCTTGTTCGGGTGTAAGTCGTGGCATTTCTGTGGTGTTTTTTATCAGTGTGAGTACCGTCTGTATCATATATACATACCGTTATTGCACGTGCAGTTTTGGCTGCCCAAGAGCCAAGTGTTTTTAATTAAAACTTGCCGTGGACGTGTATTAATTTCTGTATAGAGCATTGTTATGTTTGAACGCGTGTTTATTCATTTTTGCAATAAAAAAAAAATCATTTTTGAAGTGGTAAAGTTTCTTATAGCCTTCAGCACATTTCAACAAATTAGTACTAACTGTAAATATGAGGAAATATTGAGTGAAGCGAATAAATAAATTATATTAAATATATATGTGTATTTATTGTTACATTATGTAAATATTTTCAAAATCAGTACATGAAATGATATGATTAGATGTGATATATGAATTGTCAAATATGAGGGGGAAAATATTTGCTCTGAAAGCAAGATTTTTGAAGTGCTGAAACTTGAAAATTGAGATTAAACATTTCAAATGAAAAGAACAAGAGTCACTGAAACAATGTAATTCACAACAGTTTGTCGACATATTACAGCCATGTCATGGCAATCTTTTTATAACCGCGTCCAGACCAGATCTACCAGATTTTTATAGCATGACCAACAGTCAATGACACACAGTGAGATCAATCATCTTGGCCACTCAGTCACCAATGTAATTAGAAAAATAGAAAATATTTTACTGTCGATTCTCGTTTATCTGAAATTGTTTATGGCCAAATGGTTTTATCTCTGTGTTTTCTCGAAACTTGCTATTGACCGTTTTCTCAGAAGTAAATGATAAGCCTCTGATCCAATTTATGTTAGTACACGCATATAGTACAACTATACTGCAATGTAGTACAATGAATACAGTACAATGCAGTACGATGACGTTCTCAAAGTTTTACAAAGACACCTCGGCCGTTGGTGTTCGTGTAAAGTGCCATATGAGCGACCTGTTCACAATATATACACGAACATGGATCTTGTGAGAGGAATGATGCGAGAACTATACGGCGTTGGTTTTGCTCGCTCTTTGTTCTCGTAACTGAATCTTTATATATATCCTGATAAAGTACTGTTATACGTCCTCTATCTATACTCAGCGTCATTATAAAGGGTCACTCAGATAATAGGAGTTTAACGTATAATTCAACTTCTAAGAGTACAGTTCAATTGCATCTGGAATGAACCTTTTTGTATATACATTGACTGTTGCTTGTCATGTATTGCACGTGCATGGGCACTGGTTGCACTGCTGTTTTGGGTAGCTTTTTTCATCGCCTCAATCCTGCAATTTTGTTTTTTCCAGCATCCAATCACAAAGTAACATAGGCATAAACAACAAAATCACATTGTAAACATTCTATTGACGCTTGTTGACATATGTTCATGTTTGACACCCTACATATCTAGGTGACCCTTCAATAATGACGCTGAGTATATTATATATCGAGCCGCTTTAAGATAGAGTCGATGCCACGTACAGGTACCCTAGGCCTTGACGACATATGAGCATCGAGAAACACTTACATGTGCTGCTGGACCCTTGTGTCGAGCACGGGGGTGTGGAGGGATGACCAAAGCACGAAGCCACGGGGTCATCTGGAATGTCGTCACGTGTCAACACCTTTAACCTTGACAGTGGACAAGACGGAACACATCCTGGAACGAATGAGTGAGTGGAAATAGTGAGTGAGTTTGCTTAACGTCTCTTTGAGCAGCATGTCAATCTAACAGAGCGTATCAGCAGGTAATGCAAGTCTTAGATGTTTACCACTTTGGTGGACCCGTGAACATCCGGGTTAGAATAGGTCTTCAGCAACTCATGCTTGTCATAAGATGCGATTATGCTTGTCGTAAGAGACGACTAACGGGATCGGGTGGTCAGGTTCGCTGACTTGATTGATAGATGTCATCGTATCCCAATTGCTCGGATCCATGCTCATATCAATCATTTGATTTTCTGGTCCAGACTCGATTACTTAAATAATGATAATACTAATTTATGCATTTGTATAGCGCAGCATTCACTGTGCATAAGTGCTCTGTGCACGACTTTAAAGACCGCCGTCATATAGCTGGAATATTGCTGAGTGCGGCATTAAACAACAATAAAAAAAATGACAGAAAAAAGGACACTTTGGTGTAATCCATTAGCACGGGTGGTGCAGACGAACCTAGAAACATATATAACAAGCATGAAATACTCATATCCCCCGCCAATATAACATGTCCGGTTGTGTGCAATGCATTAGAATACATAACTGTATGTGTAATGATATAAATTACTTAAACAATAATCAGAGAAGTAAGGGAGTTCTTACTTTACTTAGAGATTATTGAGAGCAGGGGTCACCACGAGGTGTATTGAGAAGTACAGCACCAATCACCTGATGACCTGAGTAGTAGACTGGAGTCTGGAATGGTTGGTTGGTTTGTTGTTTAACGCCGCACTCAGCAATATTCCAGCTATATGACGGCGGTCTGTAAATGATCGTCTGAACCAGACAATCCAGTGATTAATAACATGAGCATCGATCCACACAAATGGTATGCATCAAATACTACAGCACTGGTATGATCAGTAAACAACAAGTCAAGTGTACCTCCAAGACAGTGATGAAGTTGGCTGGTTCGGGTTCCACTGTGTAAATTGTGTTTTCACAATAATTCACCATATACCTTGTCCAAGTTCTTTTGTCAAGTTGTACACATCTCAATTAGGTAATTATGGTAACGGTTCTCGGACAATCCTGCTTAGATGTTTTTGTAGAATGTGTAAACGGTTTCCGACTTATGCTCTTTCTAAGGAAACATTCGTAAAAACTCCCAAACTATCAAAAGGCACCAGCTTACCACTAGACCTACTTAAGTGCCAAGTTTTGTGAAGAAATATTGTACTGTTTTCAAGAGGTCTACCACCGTCTAAGTCAAAGTCGTTGCCAGAGAAACTCGAAAACTATTTTTTTTAAATCCCAAAGTATCAAATAGCACTGGTTTTTTAGTTCTGCTCCGGAAACGAAACGTGACGGGCGGACGACGGACGGAAGGAAGGACGGACGGCACCCATTCCTATATCTCCCCTTGTGAGTGAGTGAGTGATTTGGGTTTAAGGCCGCTTTAAATAGAAGTTATATCTCGGGGTGTCCCCACGAGCACTGGTAAACTGCTGACAAACATAGAAACAAAATCGGGGCGAACCGGGATTCGACGCCGCGATCAAACGTTCCTGGCGTGCCTCTGCACTGTGAATTACGGTGCCTTGACCGACCCACCCATATAATGACAGTGTACATACCCGGCACTGTCAGTAAGTATGGCTCTACGTTGGTGTCATTTCTGAAGTAGAACTCGACAGTGTATCCCTCAGTCTCATTGTGATGAAGCTCCATAAGCACTGCCCCAGCGTACGAGATGTAGAGTTGGTTGAACATTCCCATCACCGACAACAGAGCGTTGACGTTCGTTTGGTGCTGGCATAAAGAACGTGTTGCCATAGTGATAAGGAAAGGTACATAAGTATTAGCTGTTCTCAAAGGACGGGGTTTGATGGGGCCTGTGTGGCACATATGATGTGCATAACTTTAGCAATACGGAAATCATTTTCAAAAACTCATTAAACTTATCAGATGTGTTCACTGGAATGAGACTTAGATATGTTCATTTCCGCTAGTGAGTGTTTGAGATTATTACTGCTGTGTGTTGTTTATTTGTTGTTTTACGCCGCACTCAGCAATATTCCAGCTATAAGACGGCAGTCTGTAAATAATCGAGTCCGGACAAGACAATCCAGTGATTGACATCATAATCAATCCACGCATTTAAGATACGATGACATGCATCAACCAAGTCAGCGAGCCTGACCACTCGATCCCGTTAGTCGTCTCTTACGACAAACATAGTCGCCTTTTAGATGTTTTCAGGAAGGTTCTTTGCTAATATCTAAACCAACGCTGATTTTCTAAGAATTAGCATGTTGAATGGCGGACTTGCTTGAGCGAACATGTTTTTATTTTCTCTTGAAGTTTTTCACTCAAATATTTCTCTATAAAATACAGTGATTTTTTTATGAAATACCGTGATTTTTTTTCTCATGAAACTAGGAATTTGGTCAATTCGTTTCAGATGGGTTAAAATATATACGAATGGAGGGATATAAAAATAGAGATCATTGTTTACCGGGATGGTAATTTAGGACTGGCTGGGAACACAAACAAATAATACTGCAAAGCGTTATTTATTAATTATTGGACGGAGAAGCGGGCTAGTTACAACCGATATTTCGTCATATCAGACTTCATTATTCGCGAATTGAAGCACATGAATCCATGGTGTTGAAAGGTAGCATTGGGTCAGTCATAACCCTTTTTCAATAGCTTGCTAAAGTCTGTTTGTATTATTTGGTTATGAGGATTTTATAAAACAAAACATTATTCCAGAATTAAATCGAATATAATATTCTCAGGTTTACCAAACAAATTAAACACTTCGCGAGACATGTACATACTAGATGTCCTGCAAAAATGTTAAAATCAAATTGAATTGTACCCCCGACTTTCACTGAAAGAAATTGTGTTTTGAATCAGTAACCGAAAACATATCCCACCTCTGACAAACATACCAGGACCCCTGGAATATTAAATGTCAGGCAAAAGAAAGTATACACCTATGTTTGATGGTGGCTAAAAATAAAACAAATTGAAGTGGTTACTAGTATTCGATGGTGATGTATTTGATACGGGTATAATAGATGATATTCCATGTATCATATCAATGCGTGTCTCACAACACAGCCTAGTAACGTTTTTTCATTTTTTGATCAAATCCAATTCCCAGGAGGTTACTCTCTTTTGCCCGGCAGTGTATGCAATGGCTGGTCAACAGTTGAAGCTGGCGTTCAGGGACATCATCCTGATTAACCCTTTTGCGGATCATCGAGTTATGAGTATAGGGAGATATTGCTTTTCCTTTTGGTGGTCCGGGTTTCCAGATTAACAGGATCTGCATTATTGAGGTTTAACTGTACATGGATATTCTCCTTCTGATGACATCGGAACATCGCTCAGATGTTAACATGAAATGAATGTTAATACTTTTGTTATTTGTTCCGATGACTCTATACTATCTGCTAAAAGTAACACCTCATATCTGAGGGTCATATGACTCAATAGTCTACTTGGTATACTCACGCCTGAGAAGAAGTCAATCTTTCGTGTGATGTTGTTAAAGTTGACAAAGTCATCAAAGTTCTTAATGATCTTTCCCAGGAAGGGGCCTGGAACATGAGTGAGTGAGTGAGTGAGTGAGTGAGTGAGTGAGTGATGTCACGGCATGCTAACCCAATGAAAGTGGAAACTCTAAAATGTTACAGATGTTAACGTCTTGAAACCCACGAGACACATCATGGATCATAATCAGGTCGAATTCGTGATTCATACCCATTGTCAGCGGATCCGGACACAATTATAGGTAGTAACTCCGCACAGCGAATTGCGTATTAGATCTGTTGGTCATCAAGTTTGCAGTACATCTTTGCTTTAGTCAACCTACCCCCTATTATCCTGGCCATGGGTCTCGTAGCAAACTTGGCTTCCGCCTTCAAGTCTTTGAGTGCCACGAACCTCTTGTACAAGTCATTCTGTCGGAGCCACGGAGGAAACGTCAAGTTGTGGTAGTTCTGAAGAAGTACAGTTTAGTTTTACTTTAGAAATATTACATGTCGGCTTGATGTGGGAGGAACATCCCAAGCTATGCAGGTCTTGGATGTTCACAAGTATAGAGCAACCCATCCGCAGACAAACTGACAAACTGACAAACCAACATGTAGAAACGTTATCCGGGCTATCACAAGCTCCTGAAACGGCATATGGCCGCAACAAGTCCGCCTTTGGCGAGAGCACCCCATTTAAGAAAACTTTATGGATAACAACTTCTGGTTTATTGCATATAAAGACGTTTCGGTGGAGAGTCTTACACTGTTATTAAGCCAACCAACAACCAAGATATAAAGGTAAATACCCGCATCAAAGAACATGGGACTTTAACAGCCAAAACACACAGCAAATCAGCCCTCTCAGACCAGCAGCAAAAAATCAAAAGGGACATGTATTTTTGTACAGCCTAATATATATTAGTCATATTATAATAAGGTAGCATGATTTCTACGACAGCTTGTTTATGGAAATGACTTTTGACAATTCAGGGTGTCTAAAATTAGTAACAAATATTAAACATTGGAAATGAAATATTTTCCGCCCCTCTTACCAATATAAAGCATACATATGTATGACATAGATACTTGAATATTATATAGCCATATGTATGCTCATTTGGGTTGTGGCATGATAAGGTGTTAATATTTTAGACCTTGTTTGTAAGTTGGACATGATTTTGTCCACCACAAGGCATCAGAATCCCAATAATCGAAACTGGAATTTGTTTGCAATCTTGATTGTCATTAAGGTTTTATCTACTGATTCTCCATCCACACTTTGATTGAAACACTACTAAGTCACACTTGAATTCATGGTACCTATTACACACATGCACTAGTTAGTGCATGGTCAAAGTCACCATGAGAGAACATGTCAAAATAGTCAGAGATAACCTGAAACCCCTCTTCATGCTGAGTGGTTGAGATCCGTGAAGACTCTGTGTCCATCGTGTTAAAGAGTGAAGTGCTGTCCTGAGAACTATCTTCCAAGGTAGGCTGTTCTTCAACAAATACAGGCTGGATCTCACATAGAAGAGCATGGGTTGAATGACTATTGTCCTTGCAGTAACGTTGGAAATGTTGACATCTACAAATCCTTTCTCTTTGTAAGCAATCAAGCTTTGGAAGATGTCAAGTCTTCGGGGATAGCTGAACGGCCAGTACTTTGCAATATGGCACATGTATTCCGTTTGGGAAGCGCCTTGTCAAAATAGCCCGTGATAGTGACGTCTGAGTGGACTAATCCAAGCTGAAATTGTCTTCTCACAATCCCGCTCCTGTTGGTTGGTTGGTTGGTTTGTTGTTTAACGCCGCACTCAGCAATATTCCAGCTTTATGATGGCAATCTGTAAGTAATCGAGCCTGGACAAGACAATCCAGTGATTGACAACATGAGCATCGATCTACGCAATGGGGATCGATGACATGCATCAACCAAGTCAGCGAGCCTGACCACCCGATCCCGTTAGTCGCCTCTTACGACAAGCATAGTCACCTTTATCGGCACGCATGGGTTGCTGAAGACCTATTCTACCCCGGATCTTCATGGGATAGTGACGCCAACTCAGCATTGTTGACAGGATTGATCCAGTTTTTCTCTAGCATATCCAATACTGACTCAACATTTGTTTCATCTTTTGCAATCCTTGTCTGTTGCAAATCTGGGTGACTGAATGATGATCTATTCAACGTCATCATATTACGGATCTGCCCAAGGAAGATGCTGCGGTATTCTGCCATCAGATAGTATTTTGTAACAGTTCCTGCCTTAAGACTGAAACCTTTGGTTCCTCCTGCAGTATGTGTGTCTTTGTTTGTCTGGTCAACTGAAATTCTTCCAAAAGGATTGTCAGACTATCTGAAGAGAAAACCCACCGGGTATTCATGAATTTCTCTGTGACATCTGACCAAGAGCTTGATGTTTATTAACATGTGGACTCATGGATGGAAGGCTGGATTGCTAATACCATTCACTCTGTGTGAAGAGCCTCCTCCTTTAAGAGTTTCCGCAAGGCGATCAATGTTATCCCATTCAAATGTAGTAACAACATGAGGGTGAATGTTTTGTGGTAGCGGTAAATAATCTTCTTCAGCCCATGCTAGCTTTTGGAGGCATATTGCAGTCTCAATTTCTTCAAATTTTGGGCATGAAACATCATGACCAAAACGGTTCAAAATTTGAATAATTTCAACATTGCCGGTGAGAGTCTTGACAGCAAACAGAAGCAAAATTTGCTTGGGTGTAATTGTTTTACCTCCAGTCACTGCATAAACAATGTCTTGACCAAAGCAGTCGGAAAGTATTTTTGTTTTCTCTAACATGAATTCTGGTTTCACATCTCCAGTAAGAAGAATTTCCAAAACATCTTTGACAAGAAGAACAAATTTGGCTGATTTTCAATCTGATTCGTCTTTCATATTCTTTATACACTTGCGCAGTAGAATTGCAGCTTCCTTGACAATTTTGTCTGTGTCAATCTTTGTCTTTCCAACTTTCAACTCTTCTTGCATCTTTTGATTTTCTCTGGCAATGGTTTCAATAGAAAGGGTGTTTGGAAAAAGAAGAAGCTTGCCATTGTCGTCAGTAAATATGTGAAGGCTGTCACCAAATTCACAACTAAGTTTACGATGCAGGTGCTTTATTGTTGATGCCTAGATTTCCTTGCATCCAGCATTTTCAATCAGACTTCTCAACTTACTAGCAAGGTCTGTCATTTTCAGCACAGATGGGTTTGAAAATACTTTGGTTCTTGTGTACTCACAAAGTTCTTCATAGGCCATACAGCATTTTCATAAATTTGATCTTCTTCGGTTTGCTCTACAGGAGTTGAATGATGATACCTCTCTTCATCCCTTGTGTTATCTCTATAGCAACGTCTGTGGTAGTGTACCTCAGCTGCAACAATATATCTGCTAGTAACTGCAAAGATTTTAGAATCTCACTTCAGTGTTCCTATTCTCATTAGAGTTTCATCAGTTCTAACTGCTCCCTAGAGTGGGTTCATTTTTTATACTTGGTCTTGCTGCAAAATACACATTTTGCCTCATAAAGAGTTGTTGATTGGCCTGACCTGTTCAGTTTCTCTCTCATGAGAATGTTGTTGTTTCAGGTGACAGGAAGTGTTTCAGATCTCTTTCATTTGTAAACCTGCTCCGACAATTTCGGTGGTACGGCAGTCATGGAAATTTAACTTCTTCTGTTATTTCCGCTATTCTTAAAATATTGACATGTTATCGAAATTTTGCTGCCCTGAATGGTGTTTTCCATAAAGAAACAGAAGCATTGATGTTAAATTTGATGAAGACTCATCACAAATGATGCAGGTTTTCTTGTAGGTCTTCTTTTTTTTGACAAGATGGAAACATCTTCATCAGAACTATATGCCATGGTCCACTGTCTTCACAGATAGGTGCTGCAACCAAAAGATATTTATTTGTCCTGTGCAAACCCGTTCACATAAAAGTAAATTTATTTGAAAGATATGATTTTATGCTGGCCCATCAAAACATATATTGTAATAAATAATCATCCATTACATATTATATATAATTTATCTGACCAGCAAATCTCTGAGTCATTAGGACTACTGTCTCATTTTCAATACAAAGATTCCTTAGAGATTTTGTACACAATAAACCCAACAGTCATAAAGCAAATTAAATAATTGGGCATAGCTTCTGCATGCCGGGCTACCTCCCGGTCGAGGGAGCATAACCACTCAATTTCTACAACCCCCCAACCCATGAGTCACAAGGGCAACTGCCACATGTATGCAATGACTCCCCCATTCACCAAACAATATGATCACAAATATCAACTTACTTGCAATAAATGATTCTCATCTTACATGGAATAAATGTTTCTCATCTTACTTGCAATAAATGTTTCTCACCTTACTTGCAATAAATGTTTCTCTAATTGTTTTTAACAAAACAGCACTTATTATTAGATTGTGGACGTACATGTTTGTTTTAAAAACAGTAATATTCATCAGAGTATTCCTGTCATAATAATATAGTCTTAGGAAAATTCTACCTTCTGTTGTTTGCTTCCACTGCAGATTTAATTACCAAATATTTGCATAGATATATTTAAACAACAAGAAGCATTGCACATTGGATAAGTAGAAAATGTTTTTTTTAACTGCTAACTTCCAACTTTGAGGTTCATTTGATTCATTTTTTAGCGGATTACAAGAAAAGTTCAGTGGTCTATATTTAGACATGACTAATTTCCAAGCAAAACTTGACCTTCTCTTACAGTGTAACAATATTCATATAAAAAAATAACAAATGATAATTGGACAGCAGTAGTAACTTACCTTATATAGACCTTGGTTCATTGATGACATTTCATATGTAGCTGTGCATGACAAGAAATAAGAGACGTCTGTCAACCAGTGCTGAGACCTGGACCCATGATGCTGCTACCTTGGCTGTGCTAAAAATAGCATGTGGCTACTACCAGCCTGCAACTGGTTCCACAATATTATCATTAGCTGGCAGCATCAGGCAACTAACTGAAAGTTGCTATACGTGTTAAAAGCTGTGAAATTAACACATAAAATCATAAAATCACGTTACACCCTCTCCATTTCTCACCTTTCACATTCCCCAACTCCCCTCTGCCTCTCTCTGTATGTCTGTCTGCCTCTCTCTCTCTCTCTCTCTCTCTCTCTCTCTCTCTCTCTCTCTCTCTCTCTCTCTCTCTCTCTCTCTCTCGTCCTCCCTTGCACCTCTCTTTCCACTCACCTCTATATATATGGTGTCAAAGAAGTCCATCAAACTTTTTAAGGTTGGCGGATACCCCGCGTGTTTGGCGATTAGATCCAACAGATCCTGATAGAACAACGAAGTCAAGAACTCATAAGGTAAAGTAATATGGGTGAAAATGAGTGAGTGAGTAAGACTGAGTGAGTGAGTTAGTTGGGTTTAACGCCGCTTTTAGCAGTATTCCAGTTATATCACGGCGTGTCAGCTTAATGTGGGAGAAAAGGCCGAAGTGATGCAGGTCTCAGACGTTTACCATTTCGGTGAAGCCCACGAGCATGGGTATGGTGCTGACAAACCTAGAAACATAATCGGGGCGAACCGGGTTGAACCCACAATCATAGGTTTCTGGCGTGCCGAAGGGACGCAACTCTGCACAGCGAATCGCGGCGCCTTAGACGACTGGGCCACACGTACCCCCGTGAGTAAGACTGGTTTAACGCTGAAGCAGTATGTCAGTCCTATCAGGCGTGTCCACTAGATGTGGGATATGTGTGGATGCGGTCTTACACTCTTACCACTTTGGTGAAACCCACGAGGACGTCTTGGTGCTGACAAACCAGGATCATATTCCAGGTAAATTTGGATCGACGGATCTGGACACACTTGAGGGACGGCTGTCTGCACTCGTGCCCACTTTAATACCCATTTTTAAATTTGATAACACTATTGCAGCCATCGTTGTGCAACCTACTCCTCCTCCTCCTCCTACTACTACTACTACTACTACTACTACTACTACTACTACTGCCGTTACTACTACTACTACTACTACTACTACTACTACTGCCGTTACTAGTATACTACCGCGAATACAATTCTTACTGTTACTACTATTACGAACACTACCACTACTACTACTATTCCTCCTCCTCCTACTACTACTATTGCTGCTACTGCTGTCGTTACTACTATTACTACTACTACTACCGCTACTACAATTCTTACTGTTACTACGACGACTACTACTACTATTCCTCCTCCTACTCCCACTGCTCCTCCTCCTACTACTACTACTAAACTGACGGCCAAACGAAATTTAACCATAATATTAAATCACTCTAGTTTGAAAACCACAAAAATAAATGCACGAAGTAAAGAATATTGAAAAGATCATAATCCCAACGAAATCGACATCTAAAATGACAGCCATACAATACCCGATATTGGCATGACAATTACCCTTAATGAGGTGGGTTAGCACCACATTAATAGCGTGTATGACCATCCCCTACTATAAGACGCTCTCCGGCGCACAGATGACGCCTGAAGATGAAGTCAGTCGCGAGAGATGTTCAGTAGGGGGACATGTATGGGAAGCGTGCAGGACACGGCAACACGTTGACGTTGTTGGCTACAAGGATGTTTCGGGTATGTATCGCCTCTTTCGGTGTCATGCTGATACAGGATACAACGTGGCAGCTGTGTAGAAATGGTAGGACAATCGGACGAAGAAAAAGATATCAAATTTCCGTTCAGATGAACATTGTTGTCCTCCCTGCCCCCAAATTGCTGACAAAACCATAACAAGCCCTCCACCATATGGCACGAATACGAATATCAGAATACAAAACAAAACATAAAAAAACACACAAAAAACACGTGCCGCGGATGTGTATCGCTTTCTGCATTAGACGTTTGGACGATGCGTTTGGCATTGATTTAATTTGAACATGTGTTTTGAATGTTTTGCAATTTCAATTTTTAAGTGGCAAAGTTTCGTTTGGTCGTCAGTTTACTACTACTACTACTACTACTACTACTACTACTACTACTACTACTACTACTACTACTTTTATTATTATTTCATTACTACTGCTACTCCTACTACTACTACTACTACTACTTTTATTATTATTTCATTACTACTGCTACTCCTACTCCTACTACTACTACTACTACTACTACTACTACTAATTTAATGCACAATTGTAATGCAGCGAATCCGACCACTGATGCATGCTCTCAGAGCTACTGTATTATGTTCCAGTGAGCATTGAATTTCATTATCAGCTCCCTTGGGAGTATACAACAGTGGTGATGGAACGCTTGGCTCAGTTCTCATGCCACATTCACATATGCGTGAGCTCGAGTGAGTGGGGTGTAACGGCGTTTTGAACAGTATTCCAGTTATATCACGGCGCGTCAGCTTAATGTGGGAGGAAAGCCCGAGGTGATGCAGGTCTAAGACGTTTACCACTTCGGTGAAACCCACTAGCACGGGTATTGGTGCTGACAAACCTAGAAACATAATCGGGGCGAACCGGGATTCGAACCCACAACCATAGGTTTCTGGCGTGCCGAAGGGACGCAACTCTGCACAGCGAATCGCGGCGCCTTAGACGACTGGGCCCCCCGTGCCCCCTCACATATGCAATATCGTCACTGGAAGGATGGAAAAACATACCTGGTTTTCTTTCTCCAATTTTTTCCCGTAATCCGTTTTCGGCAGTTGATTGACCAAGGCATCGTATGTTGGACATTCCATTTCAAATAACTGAAGGTAGAATACTTATGTTTAAAAACTGATAGTAAAAATGTCGTTATATCTAGCTAAAGCGAATCGAACAGAAGACAACATATAAACCACAATGCTGCCCCTAAGATGTGTATTAGATTGGCGAGCGGAACTGTACCACAGCACTGATAGTAAATGTAATTGTATTACACTGAGTTGTTGGTCACAGCGACCGTCAGATGATTGAGTCACAGCAACATCAGAACGGGGGACTGTGAGACACTGCAAGCTGGCATTTTCTCGTTGACATGTTTTTTTGTAATGACACAATCCTCCATGTAACACAACATGTGTGTGTCGTGTTTCGACACAGTCGGAAAGATTCCAGCCCCATATATAATATATCTACTAAGAATCCACAACTTTAAAAGGTAATACAATGTACGTCAAATTGTGTGCATCTGTTGTAGAAGCCAAATACAAAATTGCAATACAGTAAACTACGGTTATAACGAACTCAAAGGGACTACTAATTTTAGTTCGTTATAACCGTAATTCGTTATAAGCATATATACAGCATATAGTCGGGACTAAAATGTTAGTTCGTTATATCCGTTAGTTCGTTATAAGCGTGTTCGTTATAACCGTAGTTTACAGTACTTGTTCAATGAACATAAGTCTGTCGCCCGTCAAAAGCAGTGTATCTGACCAAAACTGAAACTCTCAGTTGCATGTATTTGATCCACGGAATGCGATCACAGCTGAGCACCGTGGTCTCATGCTCCCGATAAGTATCTGGATGGTTGCCGAGGGAGGATTGTCCCGCGCTTCAGTTAGAGCATTGCGGAGTTCCCGGAGTGCCGGAAGGACAGGGCGTCGTGAGAGGGCGATCTGCAGCTCGTTCCAAATGTGTTGGACAGAGAGGAGGTCTGGTAACCGGTAACATTTCTTCTCCCGTTTGACACAGACTTTAAAAGATATGTACATTCAAAAATGGCATTGTTCTTTGTTTAGTTCTAGAAAAGCAAACTATTACACTACATTTAAGACTACTATTATATTAGAACCTTATCTATTAAGTGTAAATTTACATAAGTTTAGAACAGCTCTTTCTCGATTCCGTTGTGGCTCACATGATCTATTTATTGAAACAGGCAGATATGAAGGTATTGCAAGAGAACACAGACTTTGTAGGATTTGTAAAATGATTGTACTGAAGATGAATATCACTTTTTATGTGTATGTCCAGTGTATGAAGATTTAAGAGCAAAATATCTAAATAACTATTTCTACCGCAACCCAAACGGTAACAAATTTTGTAAATTAATGACTTGTGATTGTACAGAAACTATTAGAAATCTATCAATGTTCATTTATCATGCCATGAAACTAAGAAAATGTATGAATTTGTAACACGCCCCACACATTGTACTATAGGCCTTTGGCCTCATAAGTACCATGAATAAAGATTGATTGATTGATTGATTGACAGAGAGGAGGTCTGGTAACCGGTCTGGCCACTCCATGCGGACAGTGGTCTGCTGTTCTGAGTAGTGACAAACGACCCTGGCACGATGATGTCGTGCGTTATCGTCCATAAGGATGGAGTTCGGTCTGATCGCACCAGCGTATAGTCTCACGTGCGCACCAAGGTTACCGCATCTGTCGCTTACAGCTGTCATTGTGTCCAACTGAAGGACATGGAGGTAGTTCTTCCAGCTCTTCAAATCTCAGCCAAAATCATGACTAAGCTCACTGAGGTTGGCATCCTCAAATCTAATTAAAATCAAATCTTTTATTCAGTCTCGATACCTCTGTGCCCAAAGATGTGGCGACCCTTCCATATGAGATCGTGCCAGATGCCTTTCTAATCAGCCAATCAGCGAGAACATCGCAAACCGAGACATTCTGACTAGCTTTTCTGATTTCTGTCTCTCGAAACCGAACTAAAATGACCAGTTCCGAATGTAAATAATATGGACCGAAGATATTATATTGTTATCGATATTTAATACACTCTTTCGTTTCTGAGTGCCATGGCTTCTACGTCCAACAGGCAGTGCAAACCAGGTTTGAGCAGCGGTCAACGATCAATACCGTTAGAAGTGATGGATAGAAGAGAGTGTGTGTTTTTTTTAGCAATATTACAGCAATATCACGGTGGGGGACGCCAGAAATGGGCTTCACACATTGTACTGCTTGTGGGGACTCGATCTTAGGCCTTCTGCTGGCCGAGCGAACACTTTAACCACTAGGCTAAAAGAAAATGAACATAACCAAAAATATACAAACAATCTTACAAAATCATCTTCTTTGGGCAGTGTGTGAATAGGGATGGGTTGCCACGGTATAGCGGGGTTCCAAATCTGATATCCTGTCGGAGGAAACAGGCCAGCCAGCATGCAGCTCGCGCTCATTATAGCGCGGTCTTGATAAGTGGACAGAACGTGGATCTATCATGAAAACAAAGAGAAAAAAAGCTTATTATTATAAAATGAAGAACGGATTAGTCAAATGAAGCATGTGAGTGAATGCGGTTTTACGCCGCTTTTAACATTATGTCAGCAATATCGTGACAGGGGACGGAAATAGGCGTCACACATGTACCCATGTGGGGAATCGAACCCGCGCCTTAGGCGTGACGAGCAAACACATTAACCATTAGGCTACACCAATTAAATAAATCAAAACCGACAACAGATAATTATGAAACATAAATAGACTAAAATAAATGCCAATGACTACCATATGAAACACTAAAACACCTCTTAAAAGCGTTTATAACTAGGATTGTTTAATGGTGCGTTTAAGTTAATATAGCAAATGATGTCATTAAAACTCATTTGATTTGTCTTGCTCAAACCTCACCTCATCTGCTGTGTAGTTCCCGTGTATATATCCGCTGCCGACGTAGCGTTTTCGTAAGTACTGGCCGAGTTCATACTCCTGTCTCATGCCTTCCTGGGAGAATCAGGGCGTTTGAATTCACAAAAATACTTAAAGGAAGCCATCGAACGATATAAAAAGGCTGGCAGACTTAACGTAACACGTGACATAATACGTCACATTGGAATTCCTTTCTGCATAAGCCACCAGTGTTCTAATTAGCTGTTAGAAGTTATGTTCAGAAAGAAATACGTGATGCAAATAAATATAACGATAAGTCCCATTGTGGGATAAGCAGAGTTTGGAATAGGCGATCGACGGTAATCATTGATTAAAGTATCAAATAATAAGAAAATAGTATCAAGTGTAAGAGCTGATGGAAGGTTCCGATGTTCTTCTTAACTGCCGGGCAAAAGAAAGCATATACTTGAAAATTGGATTTAACCAAACAAACAAGAAAAGTTATCAAAACATTACTAGAAAACAGTCACCAAAAACACTGCAATCTTCAGGCCCAAAACACAACTTCAATAGTCGTATAAAATAAGTCGCCATCTAATTACCATTTCTTGGTTGTTTCATTTTTAACCACCATCAAACATGGATGTATAGCTTCCTTGCTCGGCAACTTTTTCGTGCATCATGGTTTTACCTATTATTTACCACGTACGAGCCTAAACTGGCCAGCTATGAACCCCTTTGGTTGAAGTACATGCTCCATCCCCTCCCCCTCCCCTACCTGTGTGAGTTGTCCCCATCCCTGGGGCCACGCGTCTTCTTGATGGGGGTCAGAAGCATAAGTGTGTTTAGGTGCCCGATCTCCATGACGAAACAGCTGCAACATAAAGGGATAGGGCATAGTGAAATCAAAATCGTGAACGATGAAAGGGAGGGAGCCCTTTTCAAAGGTTAAGTATTTTAAAGTGGCTCCGTTAAAGTAAAACAAAATACAATATCCCCGATTTTTTTAAAGACAACTTGTATGTGCACAGCATTAAACAAACAAACAAACTTTATTGAGAATCGTGAAGATCCGGGGTAGAGTAGCTCTTACAGCAACCCATGCTTGCCGTAAAAGGCGATTATGCTTGTCCTAGGAGGCGACTAACGGGATCGGGTGGTCAGGCTCGCTGACTCGGTTGATGCATGTCATCGTATCCCAATTGCGTAGACTGATGCTCATGATGTCAATCACTGGATTGTCTGGCCCGGACCCGATTATGAGTGCGTCGTTAAACAGCAAACAAACAAACAAACAAACCCCATAGAACACCTCTTGGATGTCATGGATCGTCGTGTGCGACAGCGACCGCATCCTCCAACCAACCACCAAGAACTGATCATGTGCCCTTCTGTCCATTACGATGAAAGCCTGTTTTTGCTACCCCACCTCAATTCGGGCAACTGTCATGCCAATATTGGATGCTGTATGACTGTCATATTTAAATGTTTTGGGGGTATTTTGATCTTTTCAAAACGTTAAACCCAATTTCACCTCACCATGCAATAATTTTACTTCATGCATGATCTATCGTTTGTGGTTTTAAAACCAGAGTGATTTAAAATTAGGGTAAAGTTTCTTTCGGCCGCACTTTACGTTGTAATAAGCAGCCGATTAACATTAATTTGTGTGGCATGCTTTGGGCAGAACTGGCTTCATCTAATTATCTGTGTGCCAGTTGTCATGCATTACATGTTATACCTCGCATTACTTAGCTGTAGTCACTCCAGCTTGATAATGGAGTAGGAATCTACATCGAAACGTCGCTATATCCAACAAACCGGATGTTGTTATCTACACAGTTGTATGACATTGCGTTCGTATTGACACACCAACTTCTAGATTGCCAATCAAACAGTTGAAGTAGCTTTGGTTTGAATTCTTACTCGTTGGAAGACGATGCATGTTTCCTTGAAGACATCGGGCAAATTCAGTAATTTAGAAGCAATTATCTGAGATGTTAGTGAATATCGTCCGAGAACGCCTAACAAGGGTTCTAAAAGTGTTATATTGTCAGAACACGTGGAAATGTTCTTGAAGCGTTACATACATGTGTTCTTTCCAGTGTAAGGAGGTAGAACTCATGGTTTCAGAGCGTGTCACCTGATACGGGGCCCTATAGATAAAATTCAAAGGTATGATCACGCTGGATGTGAACGACCTGGCAAATGTGCTCAGTGACCGCTTATCTGTTTAAGGACTTAGCCACAAGTGAACGCAGAGCCATACCAGACTTACAGGGATACCAAATCATCCTTAAACCGCACATCGCGACCCCGTCCCTGTTAGGATAGACAGATTATTTAGAACTTGAATTGGAATTTAACTTTGACATCCAGTGTCTCAACTAAAACTCACATTGAAAAGGAATGTAAAGATGAAAAACTGTAAATTACAAATGCATTTATTTTTTTAATTTAATTCAAGAGGGATATTAATATATAGTTTGCATGTGGCTAAAAGGTATTTATGTAATGTTAAATTGTCACTCACCACTTGTACGTATCTTAAGGTTCCGTCAGAGGCTGAGATAGCGTTAATGAGAATGCACAGAAGTAAGCAGCGTTGCGCCATGATGACACGATGTGTTAGCTCGCACTGTCCTCGGTTATTTCCGTGACGGAAAGGAGACAGCGATCGCGGCACGCTCCTACCCAGAGTTCCATGCGGCCAGCCGATACCTCTTCCACAGGCCAGCGACACGTGACGATTCGTGAAATCTTCACACTCCATTCAAGATAGTGCTTATGTTTTTCATCTGTTTCATTTTTGACGAGTCTAAACATTTTGATAATATATGTCATAGAATGGTTAAGTTACATTGGGAAAATATCCTAAAACGTGACAAGCTATTTCCTTTTGCGTTGTTATCCTATGTTTACATTGGTTGTCCGGCTCCACGTGCTGTCATCGAAGCCCAACTGAGAGTTAACGATACGGTAGCTTTGATGTATAGATTAGATATATTGTCATGCACCTCACTGTCGGAGTTGAAGTAGCATATTTATATATATTAATGCAAAACAATATGTAAAGCACACTGGAAGGCTTGCATTAGACCAGTCTGTTCTGATTTTAGAATAAGCGCGTTTGTTTACAAACAAGAAAAAAACGTCCGGTCACGTGATATGGAAATTAACCTGTGGCAGTGACGTATTGCAAAGTCAACAAGTGTGAGTGTGAGATCGCGACACTATAGTTCTTTTTCTTACCTGTTTTATTACTCAATAGTCCTTTGTACAAGAGAAGTGAGTGAGTGAGTATGGTTTTACGCCGCTTTTAGCAATATTCCAGCAATATCACGGCGGGGGACACCAGAAATGGGCTTCACACATTGTACCTATGTCAGGAATCGAACCTGGGTCTTCGGCGTGACGAGCGAACGCTTTAACCACTAGGCTACCCGACCGCCCCTTGTACAAGAGGATGAGTGATGGGTTTGAACACTTTTTGAGATGTAGGAAAGCTCGGCAGATTATTGTGACGCAAGTTGTGGGCGTGGATTGCTTCTGTGAAGTCAGCTCGCAGGGGCGAGGTGCGGACACACCAGGGGTCGGGTAGGGATAAATATGGGAATCGAACCCGGATTGGCATAGGTCGCCACTGTTCAGCTGAGTGAGTGAGTGAGTGAGTGTGTGTGTGTGAGTGTGTGTGTGTGTGTGTGTGTGTGTGTGTGTGTGTGTGTGTGTGTGTGTGTGTGTGTGTGTTTGAGTGAGTGAGTGTGAGTGTGTGAGTGTGTGTGTGTGTGTTTAGGTAATTGTGCGGTGTGTTACTGAGTTAGTGATTATGTTAGTGTGTGTTGGTGTTCGTGTGCGTGAGTATTTAGCGCTTCATCTTTAATATTTCTGCGAATGAGCGGCGAATATCACAAATGATATAAGTTACCAATTCCTAAGTACACACAGTACTTAAACCTCGGATGATTTGCGGAGACCTATGAAGAAACGGAGTGACAAACTTATACCCCGCATTCCTAAACTTATCGAATTGTTCGCTTTGCCCAGGCATGTTTATAGATCTCAATGAAGACACGTCAGCTGTTTAAAGGGAGGTAACTCGGGGTGGCCTGTAATTAATGTGTCGACTGCACATGTGTATTTTACGAGGGAGGGAGTGAGTGAGTGAATATGGTTTAACGCCGCTTTTACCAATATTCCAGCAATATCACGGCGAGGGACACCAGAAATGGGCTTCACACATTGTACCCATGTCGGGAATCGAACCCGGGTCTTCGGCGTGACGATCGAACGCCTTAACCACTAGGCTACCCGACCGCCCCTTTACGAGGGAGACAAACCGCCGACCCCTCCACTTCCGGAGAGGGGCTCTATCCACTGGACCACGGAGGCGGTCTCGGATGTAGAGAGCATAAGAAATGTTCCTATTGTCGGGGGCAGTAAAATGGATTGAGTGAATCGTGTTTTATGCCGCTTTGAACAGTGTTTCTGCTATATGGCGCTGTTTGCGATGCGTGTGGGAGGAGATCCTGAAGTGACGCCGGTCTTACCCCTCTCGTGAAACCAACGAGCGGACATGGCGCGGACATACCAAGGATCAAAATCAGGAATTCGAGCACACGAAATATATGTCACTGTACACCGTAGTGAATATAGGTGAGGTGAAATGGGGTTTAACGTCGCGTCCAAGATTATTGCACTTATATAGCGACGTGCATGTACGTGTGTGTGTTTGTGTGGGTGCTTGTACTAGTCTGGACTGATGCCGATTTATAGTGCTAGCACACTGAGATACCATGCCGCAGTTTAACATGAATACCCCACTCAGACACAGTATACTGACTCCAAGCAGACCAGTCCTTGTTTTAGCCCCTTAATGCCGAGCGCCAGACAGGGTAACAACAAGTACCATCTTTTAACGTCTTTTGGTATGACGCGGCTGGGGATTGAACCCCGGACCTTCCGCTCTCCGGGCGGACGCTCTACCACAAGACCCCGGAGGCTGTCCACTAGTGAATATAACCTCTGTATTTATATATGGGAAATTTGTGATTATATTTGATTATTTAGTCATATGTGTTGGTACCATTATCTCAATTTCGACTCCATTTAAAAAAAAACCCCTTTCTTAATTATGTCAATGGTTGTGAAATTCAAGATGTCACACTAATATAAGACTCATTATACATTCTCTGTATGTAAAAAGCAGTTAGGGGACACGGGTGGACCAGTCGTCTAAGGCGCTGCGTTTCGCTGTGGAGCTTTGCGTCCCTTGGGCACGACAGAAACCTGGTATTGTGGGTTCGAATCCCGGTTCGCCTCGATTGTATTTCCAGTTTTGTCAGCACCCTACCCGTGCTCGTGGGTTTCACCGAAGTGGTAAACGTCTGAGACCTGCTTTGGGCTTTCCTCCCACATTAAGCTGACACGCAGCGATATAACTGGAATAATGTTAAAAGCGGCGTTAAACTCAACCCAACTCACTCACTAAAAGCGGTTAATTGTCCCACTGGGTAAAGCACTCGCTCGTCAAACCACCTGGATTCGATTCCCCACATTGATACACTTGGTAAATCTTGTGCAGGTGCCCCCCGCCGTGATATTGCCGGAATAACGTTACAAGCGGATTAAAACTCTATTCACTTTTCGTATAATAAGACTGTGTCACCCTAAACAGTCCAAGTATACACATTTAATATGCCCAAGTCTGAGCTAAGCCATTCAAGAAACGAGCAACGAGGTCACCGAGTTCCACCACTATTTAGCCACAGTTGTGAACCTACAAAACGGCAAGCAAAACGGCATATATGGGTTTATAACCGTCCCCGAGAAAATAACGAGTCGCAAAGGCCCTTTATTCACCCCGCCGTATCTGTCAACAAAACAACCTTCAATCGAGGCTAGTTGCCTCGTTAGCTTCTCACAGCCGAAGTTACGTGACGTTTGACTTTTCACTGAAGGTGATCGTGCGACTTGAATACACAGAGTTCTATATAATAAAAGTTAATTTCAAATTGATCTTATTTATAACAACATGGGTGATGTCTGGGGTTGCTATTCGTTGTATTGTGAATGAAGACGTTAATAGAACGAATGGGCTGTATTCATTCTATACAAATGGCTCGCTATTCAGAGTAGCTGCTTGGAGTGTATACTGTATACTGATTATTGTGAGGGTGACGCTTTAACGGGGACGGGTTTGGAGGTTTGGAGGTACGGTCGCCAAGATGTTGAATTGCAACACAACACGATTTGGCTTTCTTATTGGATAAACACAGGTAATTTTACCGTTTTTAATTCACAATTCTTTATTTACACATATAAGTTCCTTGGTGTTGCGTCGAAATGGATGTCCTTTCGTCCTATATTGCCTGGGAATGAAGGTAGACACCTTTGTTCGACGATGGCTAAACATGAGCAAAGTAAACCAGGTATCGTTATGATCAATTGGAGTTGGTTCACACACACCAGTCATTACGGTTGTAATTTTATTTGTCAAATCTAATTTTCCAGTGTACACTTATTTATGCCCGACAGTTACTATCCACTGAAGGTATGTCAGATGGGTCTGTTTTCGGATGAACGTTTTTATTTTAATGTTTGTTTATGCTTATGTGGTTTGATGTTATAGTGTATGGAATCACCTTTCTTTGAATTTAAAATGTATCTTCGAAAGAATATTCATGATTACAAATTAAAGCAAACTCGGCACTGATTAGTTTTGAGAGAGAGAGAGAGACACAGAGAGAGAGAGAGAGAGGGGGGGGGGAGAACGAGAGAGAGATAGACAGACACAAACAGAGAGAGAGAGAGAGAACGAGAGAGATAGACAGACACACAAACAAACAAAGAGTGAGGTAGAGAAACAGAGTACAAAAGCGAGCGATAGAGAGAGGCGAGAGCGATAGAGGGAGGCGAGAGCGATAGAGAGAGGCGAGAGCGATAGAGAGAGGCGAGAGCGATAGAGAGAGGCGAGAGCGATAGAGAGAGGCGAGAGCGAAAGAAACAGAGAGAAAGGAAGTGAGAGAGAAATAGAGTGCAAGAGAGTGAGAGGGAGAGAAAATGGGGTAAATTGGATACTAAAGATGAGAGAGATATCGGGACAGAGGCCGCTTTTAGAACTACGTGATTGTCTACTTTACGTCATTGCAGTACCGTCACTATGGCAACCGCTGCTGTCTGGGATTACCACCGCTTCTGCCTGAATCTAACACCCCAACCAAAGAAAGTCTACGGCATTAAATACGTCAACATAGAGTTACCTCCCCCTCTATCATACGTCCCCTCCGAAACACGTGACTATGACGATCAGTTTGAAGACACGGACGAAGAGGAACTGCTGTTTTCTGATGACGAGGAAGAAACGCGTCATCTCCCTGTGCGATCGGCTGCATCAAGATTACAAGCGGTTCAAACACCCAGCCGTGGCCTAGCAACAGCGATTGGAGACTGCCTCCTGTTGTCCTCCTCTGACCAACTAAGGAACATATGTTGTCCGCCAGGGATAAGATGGACCACCAGCGCTAAAGGCAGACGATCCAAATCATGTGATTCAAAATGGCGGTCTTTCTATTCCTCTTCAGCAAAACCTCGATTTAAGTTATCTTATCTCACTCAAGACGGGAGGGTTCACGAAACTAATCCAGCAGAAGCAGTTGAGAAGACGCCAGAATGTGACGCATCGAAGGTGCCGGTTAATCTTCATCCTCACCCAATGGCAGATGTCGTGTTGGC